TAGGTTTCACATTTAAGTCTTTGATCCATCTGGAGTTCGTTTTTGTGTATGGTGTGAGGTACAGATCTTGTTTCATTTTTCTGCAAATGGATCTCCAATTTTGCCAGCACCATTTATTAAACAAACATTCTCTTCCCCACTTAATGGATTTGGGGCCTTTGTCAAAGATCAGCTGATGAAGTTTTATTTCTGAGGTGTTCATATGAATTCTTAAAATCCAAGATGAGCAACTCAGGCTTGGCAGACGAGATACCATTAGTGTCAGCTGGTAGCATGATGGGCAGAGAAAAGGAATTGAGAATGTAAGGAGGTGTACGTTCATTCAGTGCCGAGAGATTGAGTGGCTTTCCCTTAGCTTGCCCACTTCAAAGGAAGGGATCAGAAATGACACCAGAAAGAGGCTGGGCACTAGATTTGCATCCCTCACCTTTCCCCGTTTATTAGCAATGTGACCTTGGACAAGTTACTCAAGCTTTTTGAACCTCTGTGTTCTCATCTGTAAAATGAAAATAATGCCTACTCCTAGGAAGGTGGTAAGGATGGTATAGTTTACCTGCAGTATTGGCACAGTGCCTCGCCGAAAGGAATCAGTGAGTAAACACAGATGCTTATCTGGGGATGGGCAGCTGGCTTTCCCTCAGGAGCACTTACTGTGGCTGAGTGCCAGTCATGTGGTGGGCCCTATGGCTGATAGGAAGTGTGTGGGATGAACAAGGATCTGTAATGGAAATCCGTAAAATGTGTTAAGGGATGGGGAAAACAGAGTGGTGCGTGGCAGTAGAATTAAGAGGTTTGGGGCTTGGGAGCTATGCAGGGAAAATGTGGGGTCAGATGGCATGGGCAGTAGCCAAGAAGAATGTCAACAGGCAGATGGGAAATGTACTTCTTTTTGTTCCTCAAACTGGTGACCTGCCTTAAAACTTTCTCAGGGATTTTAAATCCACAAAGATGTAAGATGTGATTAATATTTGATTTTATATTTGAATGATTAAAAACTAATCTCTTAAAATACTTTTATTTGGAAAGGTTATAATTTTCTTTGTATTTTTCTTTTAACATATGTATTTTTTCTTTTTCCAAAGGTGGCAGAAAGGGCACTCTATTACTGGAATAATGAATATATCATGAGTTTGATAGAAGAAAACTCTAATGTCATCCTTCCCATCATGTTTTCCAGTCTTTACAGGATTTCGAAAGAACATTGGAATCCGTAGGTTTCCACAGTCCCCTCCCTTCCTCCTTTCCTTAGACCCTTTGCCTCCCTTCTTCTCTTTTGTTTAATAAAATGTTTTGAATGCTTGCTATGTGCCTGATACTGTGCTTGCTGCTGGAGACAGAAATATGAAAAGATAAAATCCCAGCTCTTTAGGAATTCACTGACTGGTTAAGAAGACCCCCACGTAAACAGATACTTTATAAAACAGAGTTTTAAATGCTGTTTTATTAAAATACCTGTTTACGTAAGGGGCCCCCCTGCCTTGTCTGTGAATGTAGCAGGGATATTTTGGAGATACTCTGGAGCTGAGAGGAGAGGCTTTTGGGCATTGATAAGGAGGTGGTACCAAATGGAATTTTAAAGGACTTTGGCAGCTAGAAGGGATGGGGGAAGCTCTTTCAGAATGGGTCCATCTACCACATAAAAAGGCATGAACTTGTAAGAAGCACCTCTTCTAATCCAGAGACTTAAGCTTGGGAGGGCTAAACACAAGGTCTTTTGGGGAGGGTGCTGGAAGATGAGGCTAGAAAATGGAATGGGGCCATGTAAGCCTTCACCGAGTGGATGATGAGGGAATACTAAAGAATATTAAGGTGGGGAATGGTCTGAGTAGATTTGTATTTTAGCAAGATCCATTTCATATCAGCAAATTCAGTCATCATACATACTTTCTAGGGTAAAAATAGTTTAAAATCGTCAAGGGAAAGTTTAACATCCACCTCTGTAAAAGTTGAAACAGAACATTCTCATTGTCTCTCTCTCTCTCTCTCTCTCTCTCTCTCTCTCTCTCTCTCTCTCTCTCTCTGTGTGTGTGTGTGTGTGTGTGTGTGTGGTGGTAACTAGTTCTCTGTGGAATTAATAACTTTAATGTAGAATTTAAAAAATTAGCAGTCACGGTCTGGTATGTTCATAGTATGTTTGTCTTGAAAAGTTTTCCATGTAATTGTTGTTGTTGTTGTT